CTCTCTTATACAAGCACCAACCTAGGTTACTAGAAACTATAAATTTCAGCATTACAAAATCTATTACAAAATCTATTACAAAATCTATTTAATAAAAAATTAATTACTTCTTGATTTACAAGATAAACAAATAGAAATATCCAAACCACAGTGTAAAAAATATAGATATAATAGAAATATTTGAAATCTCCTCTTTCATTTAGTTTATAATGCAGCAATTCCATACATGGTACAGGTCAAGAAAAAAAATCTGGAGATTTGTCTTGAAAAATCGTGAGATTTGCGTTGAAAAATCGTGAGATTTGCCTTGAAAAATCGTGAGATTTGCTTTGAAAAATCTGGGGATTTGTCTTGAAAAATCTGGAGATTTGTCTTGAAAAATCTGGAGATTTTTTCAAAGCGCGTAAATTCGTGAATTTTAAGCTCAAAATTGCTTTTTTTTTTTATTTATTTTTTATAATTGAATTCTGGCAAAACCTTCCTTGTTGTACACTGCATGGCATTGCCTGTCTGCTTAGGTAAATAATTTAATTCAGATTTTGAGTTCATGTAACAATTCTTTTTATTTTAAAATAATCAATTATTTGAAATTTGATTCCGCTGTTTTAATTTGCAGAAAACTGAAAAAATTTATTTAAAAAAATTGAGAAATGAAATTTATAATTATGCAGTCTAATCACGCATGTAGTCTATTTGTCGCAGGCATGTTTAGAAACAGCAAGTTCTGGTCTCTTCCACCAAACAAAAACCCAAACTTCAAAATTCTCAACCACGAAAATCAAATTAAGAAACTTAAAATTTAGAATTCCATCATCTATCTTGCTAATTTCATGTCAAAAAATGCCTGAAATTCGATTAACGAACTTTTGATTAATTCTTAACTCAAAATGTCACCCTGTAAAAAATGGCTGCTTCTCCGTCTTTTTTTGTCATTGCCATTAATTTTCAACAATTAAAGAATTATTTCTGAATTTCAAGATGGAAGAATTTTCAGGCCACATGCAGGAAGACAGGAAATTAAGCTCTGATGTAACATTGTTCTTCTGCCATGATTGATTACGCTGCCTGATAATTCCATTAAAAAGTGCCGACTTGAAGATGGCATCGTTTGAAGAATTGACATTTCATGGCTTTTTTGTATATGACAGAAGTGTACTTGATGAGTTGGTGAAGTTCTCTTTGGTTTCTACAAAAATAAGTGCACTTTTGTTTGAAATAGTGAAAAAACCAATGTTAGAGGATGACTTATGTCAATATTAGAAAGAGCTTATCTATATTAGAGCCAACTCTTGGCATATGCAAGGGTCTATATCAATGAACGATTCTGTCCGTACTTTCACTTAGGTTAAGGGTACTATATATGTTGGGGCGTATCTAGAAAATGCCTAAAGGAAGGGGAGGGGGCAAACATGAGAGAGAGGCCAGGGGAAGCCCCAAGAAGCAGATTTCAAATGGTGGGAGACAAATTTTGAGCATTTTTAGGGCTTTAATTCACTTCAAAATTTCAATACCTTTTCTCTCCTGAGGGAGGAAGGTAATGGGCGTGGCCCCATTGCCCACCCCCTAAAACACCACTGTATATGTGTCTGTTTTCTTATTGTGAATGAAAATATTTAGTTTGCAGCTATATATCAATAGATAAATACATGTCTCCTCTAAAATTATTTAAACTGTTGCAAGGCTACAAATCTTGGATATGAATCGATACTTAAAATTATTTGCCGATTTACAGGAACCAATTTACTTATTGATATTCATACCCAGTAGGGTATGAATACGTTACATTATTAGTCCAACTGTATAGTACCGATAACTTACTGATAGTTCAATAACTTTGCTAAATTACTTTGGAAATGCCAATTACTTACGATTGATGTGAATTACATTATTTTGACTTTTTACCCTCAGGATAAGAATCGGGGAAGAATTTGGAAGAAATTCTAATCAATTTTTATTGATTTTACGAGGAAAGTTATCAATGAATTTGTCGTGTTTGTAAAAGGAATGATTATATGATTAATGTTTTGAAATGTTTCTTAAACTAACCAAAAAATATTTATTGAGAAATTTTTTATTTGAATTGAATTTTTGATATTGGGTGATAGTTCTGATTGATGTTCATTTTAAATAAGCTTATTATTGCCGATGTTGAAATATATCCAGTTCATTATTTGAGTAAAGGTGATGTAATATAACAGTGATATTGCTTTTCATATAGCATTCTTAGATAAAACAAGGTTCCGTTTGCTAAGCAGTAGATGACAGGATAATGTCAGCTTCCAGTCAACTGATAGTCAGTCTTTCAGATGGGACAATAAACTTAGGCCCTGTATGTTACAGTCCGTGTAAGTTGAATATCCATCGAATGGAAATTTACTCAGACTTGGTCATTGCTGTGTGGACATTACCTATGTTCATTAACTCAATAAGCTTAGTTTGAAGTTGAAAAGAACCATAAGCCAAGGTCCAGTGCTTGACTGTGCTAAGAAGAGTAGGATAATGCTGCTATACCAGAAATGAATGCAAAAATGTCAATAGCCAGTAGGACAGAAACATCAAACTTCATTCTATTTCTATTTCTATTTGATTCTTTCATTATATTTAATGCTAGCTGATTACTTAAGACACCAAGAATCTATAAATAAAACATGGTACAATAATTTTCCAGTGATAATAATCAAAACTGATATTAAACAAAGATTTCCACACAAATTTCTGCAATCGTTAGAGAGTAAGAAAGTCTTGTGGGAATTTTATACCAAAGAAATTTCCAATCAAGATAAAATCTTGCTGTATTTTATCTTGATTCTGAATTTCTGGATGATTAAAATTGACTTATTGCAGAATTTTTACAAAGTTTGATTAATAGGTTGAATAACCTTATCAGAAGTTTGTCTTAAGCTGAGATGGGTTCTGCCTTTTTTTATGCTGTCCTTAATTTTAACATATGTTCATTTCTCCGTAAAGGAAGGAACATTGCCGATGCTTTCAGTCTTTGAGTCTTTCATTCAATAAACAAAACAATGTCTTCATTCTTATAATTCCATTCATACATCCAACCAAAACAAGTACGTGCCAGTACTCTCGTTTATTTATTCATTCATTCATTCAACAGAACCGTTTGTTCATTCTGTCTTGCATGATTCCATCCATTCATTCGTTCATTTCAACAATTGTTCAGTTCTAGTATCTCATTCATTCTTCTATACAAGTACAAACACATTCATTCCTTTATTCATTTATTCATTTTAAAACAAGTACCTGTACTTCCATTCATTCATCCATTCGTTCATTCATTCATTCAACCATTGATTCATCCATTCGTTCATTCGTTCATTCATTCATTCATCCATTCATTCATTCATCCATTCATTCATTCATTCATTCATTCATTCATTCATTCATTCATTCAACCATTGATTCATCCATGCGTTCATTCATTCATTCATTCATTCATTCATTCATTCATCCATCCATCCATCCATCCATCTACCCATCCATTCCTTCATTTATTCATTCATCCATTCATTGATCTGCATTCATTCATCCATTCATTCAGTCATTCATTCATTTTTTAGAACAAGTACCTGTACTACCATTCACTCATTCATTTCAACAAGTGTTCATTCCATAGATCTCTCTTAATGTAATTCCACTTAACACTAATAAGTTCTGACAATTTTTCATTCAAGTAGACTTAAACTGTCCAGCCTTTACTTAATTTTGATGCATTACCATGGAAACCCATCAATCTTAGCGGCACTAATTTACAACATTTTTAGATCTTAATGGTTGAAATTGTAGACCAATTTATTGAGCTTTTCTTTTGGCTAATTATCTTAATTGCACAACTTCCATTTTGAAAAGGATTTCAGAAACCAAATGGCAGGCATTTGCTTTGAACGAGCAAGGTTTTTTGCTCAATTTGTTCTCTCTTGTTTAATTTTGTTACGGTGAAAATTTGTCACTAAGTCACTTTGGTTTCCGGTAATCAAGATTTTCAATGATTTCAAATATTCCGAACTAAAATTGAGAAACGGAGAAAAAAATCTCTCGTATCTATTTTACGTGAATTGCAATTTTCAAGGAAAAAGAGTCACGTCATAGTTGTTTGATTATTGAGAGATTATGAATATGGAAATCCAACTTCCATTGAATAAAACTGTCTCTGAAAGCTAATTGTATTAATTTTGGCCAACATGACATACTTACAAAAGTCTCTGAAAGCTAATAGTATTAACTTGAACCAACATGACATACTTTCAAAAGGTTCTGAAAGCTAATTGTATTAACTCTGGGCCAACATGACATACTTACAAAAGGCTCTGAAAGCTAATAGTATTAACTTGAACCAACATGACATACTTTCAAAAGGTTCTGAAAGCTAATTATATTAATTTGGTCCAACATGACATACTTTCAAAAGGTTCTGAAAGCTAATTGTATTAATTTGGTCCAACATGACATACTTTCAAAAGGTTCTGAAAGCTAATTGTATTAACTTGAACCAACATGACATACTTTCTAAAGGCTCTGAAAGCTAATAGTATTAACTTGAACCAACATGACATCCTTTCAAAAGGTTCTGAAAGCTAATTATATTAATTTGGGCCAACATGACATACTTTCAAAAGGCTTAGAAAACTAATTGTATTAATTTGGGCCAACATGACATACTTTCAAAAGGCTTAGAAAGCTAATTGTATTAATTTAGACCAGTGCTCGATGATGCTTGTATGTCAATGATCGTTCAAAATATCAAAAAAGGGGACGTATGGAGACTAGCAAAATATTTTGTTTGAGAAATTGTAATAGAATTTATTTTTAAATAAACTGCTGTGTGGAGATGTATTTGATGAATTATGCAAATAATCTTGGTATAGCGAAAACAATTCTAATTTTGGATGTAGAATTGTTCAAGAATTCTGGTTCAGCCCCATTAAGCCATTGTCATATTAAATTAGCAAAATTATTAATTTTCATTCATTTGTATTTTTCAGTTTTGATGACAGTAGTTCAATCAGTAGTGGAGATATCAGTGATACGATTGCCGAGATCAGTACAGATGAAAACTTAACAGGGTCAGGGCCTGCCCCAGACAACAACCCTTACAGTAGTTTAAAACGAGGCCCTAAAGATTTGACGCAGGGGATTCACGTCAGCAATGGACATAGTGGACGCATTCAAGGGAAACAACCCAATCTTGGTACTAGTGCTTTTCTAGCTGGTAACTATAACAACAGTGATAGTAGTCCGTACGGCTGGGGTAGAAAGTATTACATACCACAAAATTCTAAACTTTTGAGCAGTGATCCCAGTGATTATGCTTATCCCTATAACAACAATTGTGATCAACAATCTCAGTGGGGTCGAAGTGAACCTGGTTACGGTTCCTTAAGAAAACTTTCAAACGCTAGCCAATCAGATTACGGCTATTCTCGTAGCGAACGTGGTGATTCGCCGCATCATTATGCTGCCAGTGACAAGGGAACTTACTCTCCCGCACCGAGTGTAAAATGTGACTCGACTACTAACACCGACCAGTCTCATTTAATGGAGACTAGTTTAAAACGTATGCAGACGGCAAGAGGTGCTGCCCCTAGTGGTGGAAGTGGTACAGGAATACAATATCGCCGACCTTTAAGTAACGTAAGCAATTCTTCTGGAGGCAGCAACAAAAGCAATGGAAGTGGTGGTAAAGGTTCCACCGCAGTTGGTAGCCGATTAGCTAAACATGGTGTAGATAACACTCCCTCTGGAATACCAAGACCTGGTAGTGCTGCTGCTAAATTGAGTTCTCATGCTGACATGGGTCCTGAAGCTTACGCCAGCAGCACACTTGAACGAAAGAAGAAAGGCTTGACGACCAGCAAATCATCCAGTCATGCTGTAGCCACAGACTTCCAGTCTAATACACTTGGACGCAGAAGACTATTTGATAGTAAAGGCAGCTTAGCAAAAGGACAAAATGGTGAAAATGGTAGCATGTGTCCTTCTACGATAATCTCCAATCCGCATGCAACGTACGGTAAAGTTGGTGGACAACAGAGTCATTATGTTAACTTGCAGCAGCTTCAAGCCTTACAGCAGCAGTGCACTCTTCAGCAGAACAGCCCTGCCAGCGGTAACTATATTACATTGGAATACAGTAGTCCACGTAACTCTGGCAATAACTGGTTGCTAAGGAATGGTAATGGTGTCATGAGTGAAACAGAAAGCATGGATTCCATATCGTCTGCTACGTCAATGTCAATTCAAGCTCAGATTCAGCAAGCTCGTGCTTTAAGTGGAGCAAGTGCACGAATTTTAGCTCAGCAGAGAGACCAGACGTCCAATCAGAATCAAGATGGCTTCCAACGATCTGATAGTATTAAATCGACTCATTCTGATGTTGCTCTGTCCCGTAAAAAATCTTTACCCGAAGAACTTCCTCGCACCAATTCTTTCTCTCAATTGTCTAGTCCTTGTAATTCGGCTGCCGAGCAACTCGCCTCACCTTCATCTCTTCACGCTTCTTCTCGTTTTACGTATCCTATGACCTTCACCTCTGGCATGCCTAGTAATCTATCGCATCACATGGTTCACTCGAATACGCACCATGGGATGATTTTCAATAGTCTTCCACTGACCAAAGCCTCCAGAGATGAAGATGGTATCAGTCGTAAGTCTTAGCTTTTAGTCGTTTTATTTTTATTTTCCCACACAATTTTTGGTTTGATTTTTTAGCATAATGGGATTCTATAGTTTCACAAGTTAAACAAGCTAGGATGCAAATTATAAAAAAAATCTCATAAACAGTCTCCTTTTAAATATCAAAACAAAGCGTGATCTTAAATTGACACACAATTACTTGTCCATTTCACCTATTTAGGATTAGTTTAAAAAAATGAACCAAAACGTGTGCTGAAATAAAAAAAAATTCAAAACAGTCCCTTTTCCAAAATATTTGCCATTTGAACATAAAGCGTTAGATTATTATCATATGTTAAGAATTATGGAGTTCATATCAATGGCTCTTCATGATGCTCCCTTTCTGGGACTGAGTTTGACAATTTAGCAATCTTTTCAGAGGGTCAATATCAAAAATATATTAATTTGGTATATAAAAAGCCTTGTTTAACTTGTAAACTGTGAATCCAGCATGATAATTGTTGTAACTTTAACTCCCCCCTGTCCTTTATCTTTCATGTTGAATGTTGCATGTTAATGTTGGATTGGATCCTTTCTGGAAAATTTCTTAGCAATTGAAATAGATATGTTTCGTTGCAAGGTGGGACTGTGAGTCAAAAAGAGGGGCGAAAATGCTGGAAATGGCAATGAATTGGAAAATTATGTCAAATGATAACCTGAAATCAGAAGTGAGGTGTTTTTTTTGATGGACCGAAAAAACACATACCTTTGTCTATTTTTAAAACCTAAGAAATTTTCCACAAAGGATCCGATCTTAAAAATTGTAAAATATATTCTAGCACATTGGATCTCATTTATAAGCAAATTTTGTGAATTTTTGTCAAATTGTGAAGATGTACCTCGGTTATTTTTGTGATGTGTTTCAAATTTTTACGTCATGCAATTTCATTTTTTGGTCTTGTGAAATGAGTTGTTTTCGTAAGTTGTGAAATTTGTGAGCATCTCAAATTTAGTTTTCAAGTATCCACGGAATATTGTAAACATATCGTGGCTTTTTGGCAGCTTTATGTCATGATTATTGTCAATTTTTACCAATTTTACAAATTAAACGTCATTTCAATATTTTAAAGGAATTTATTGCTGACTTAATGAGAATCTATATGACTAGAAAATATTTTAGAATTTTAAAAAAATATTTGCAAATTTACAGTCTACTATATTGGTAATTGAAAATGTATCGAGTATATCATACGCCCACACTAAACAACATATTGACATTTTTTTTTTCATTTTGAAATCCGAAAACAAACCCGATAAATTACTTGATTTTATTCAGTATTTCTGAAAACCTTACTCTCAAATTTCAAAACAGGAGAAAATTTGCAAATATTTAAAGTTTTTGGATTTTGAGCATTTGATTTAGGTAGTTGAGAATCGTAGCTTAGATTTCTTTCAATCTTTCTGACCTGACACAACGAGAAGGGTAAGAGACGAATTGATGTCGGCCATTTTGATTAATATTTTGCTGTGTTTTGTGTATTATTTTACTAACCTATGTGTTTGTTTGTTTGTTGACAGGCCTGACGAAATCGTCGACGATTGATTACGCTTATCTTAGCGATTATGCTTATTCATCAGGTGAGTTCCTTATGTCTGAAGATTCTTCGAAGATGGCAAATTTTTTATTTTTTGTTGGGTTTACTTTAACTGTGATTTTCCTGGATACCTGTAGCCGAAAGTTGCTAAAGATTAAGGGAATTGGATTACACTATTTTCCAAATTTTGACATGACACTCTCTTTTTTTTGAATTGTCCATCATCATATTCAAATTAAGGTTGTGCTGTAGGCCTCATGCATTTCACCTCAGCATAGTAATGGGTGCACTTGATTTGTGAGTTCTGCATATCTGGGATTCATAGAATCAACCAAATGTTCAATAAAACAAGTTGAAGCAGAGTTCAGAATTTGTTTTACTTGTGCCAAAAAATAGTAGGTAGACAGAATTCAAAATGGAGGAGGAAGTAATAGAAGGGCAAATTTTGAATGTGACATATCCAGTTCATACTGTTAGATTGAGGCAAGGTTTCGGACAGAAAGAACTTGTTTAGAACAGTTGAACTGAGCACAACCAAACAATTCATATTTCATAATCCAAAGGATAACACTAAGCCTAGGGGAAGTAACTAACTTTAAATGACAGTTACTTATTACAGACCACAACTAATATATTTTGATTGCAGTTGTACTAATGTTGATAGTTTGATGTAGACATTGTGAAAATGTTTTTTAGTGTTTGACTTCACCTGTTTTCTAGTATTTGAGAAATTTTGATAAAAAAGATTTATTATAAAACAATTGTTGAATATTTTCGGTTAAAAATGCAGACGTATGAATTGAGTAATATAGAAATAAAAAAGTTTGAAATGAGATTTAAAATCTGAACAAGTCTCCTGGAATAAAGATCTGAACCTCTTTTAAAATGGTTATTTTGAAAGCTTATATCAATAATCATCATTAAGTTTATAATATCTTTAACTCCTTAAAAAAAAATTGTGCTGTTTTCCAGTTCATGGTTCAAATCTGTCATTGATATCCTCAGCATCATCTGTCCACAGCTCGGTAAGTTTACATCTTGTAATTCTGACTTTGCTTGATCTGTTAAATGATTTTGTGGTATTCATGGAGGTCTGTCACTGTGTGTAACCAGTAAAATGCTTAGTACTTAGCGATAATGGGATAGTTACTGATTCGGATTTTGTTCTGCTTACCTATTGGGCATCATGTGTTTCAGTCAGAAGTCAGAAGCAGAAATTTCTTTTCACTATTCCGCTTTCAAAGTTGCTCATGTGCATATAGGTCTTGACATCTGTCAATCATGTCACCTCTGACAGGTCAATTTATTAGAGCTATGTAGATCACAATTACAAGTATAAATCTGAACTGGTATTTAGAAGTAGATACTACTGCTCCACGCATGTGTAGAAGTAATTTGCCGAATTCTTCTTTTTTTGTCATCTTCATTCATATTCACGTTCAGTTTTTTTCAAGTTATAAATATTTTTCATTTTCATTATTTTTTATTTCGTAGGCTGAAGAACGATATTCACATGAGGTAAATAACTTCTGAAATTTAATATATTAGAAGAAATAAACTTAAATGAAATTAAAGATGGATTCCCTTATTTTCATTTATGAAAATGAAAATGCTACTCATATGAATAGAAAGTAGAGGTGTTCTAATGACTTGGAAAAATACCAGTTTGACTCACATGTCAATAATTATTTCATAATTAGCTAAATAAGAAGAGAATTACCAGCAGAATTCCAATGAGTAACCGATCAAGAAAGGTCAAAAAGTATTTTTTGTTCATCCAGACTGTACATACATAGACATTAATGATTGGTTAAAACTCTTAATTATATGCAATAAGAACATAATGATATGATAAAGAATACATGATAAATCATTAGAAACACCAATTAAACAAATGGTTTGCTTAATTTGACACTAGAAAATAAGGAAAACCATCTTTAAACAAATAAAATCTGTAATGCATGATTCAATTTGAAATTGCTAATTGTTTGAAGCCCCATCTCTAAAGGTTGTAAACGACAACGCATAAAAAGTTTATATTCTTTGTCCATCTGTGACATAGAGTCGTTCTCAAGCAGGGAACCTTCAATTAGAAAACAGTGAGCACAAATCAATGGTCCCCTGCTTGAGAATAACTCTCTCAGCACCAATGACTTGATTAAAATATATTTTCTTTTCATCATATATCATCAATTTCTTTTCAACTGAACGCAGAGATTGATTTTTGTATTTTTTGTTTTTAGATCCGAAAGTTACGACGTGAACTTGATGGTGCTCAAGATAAAGTGTTGACTCTTAGTAATCAGCTGAACACCAATGTGAGTACAATTCAGATCTTAATACATATATACACAAACTTTTGATATTTGCATAATATTCACATAATCTGTATCATATTCTAGAAACACATTTTAACATTTACAATATTTATTACACATATACACAAACTTTTGATATTTTTCATGATATACACACATCTCTGTATCACATTTTAGAAACACATTTTAACTTTTTCAATTCTGGTACAATTCTCATGATATACATAGTTCCATAGATTTTAAAACACATGATTTAATATTTTCATTTCTCAAATCACGCATAGGCAAACAGTTCCAGCAGAACACATTTAGACTGAAGACATTAACATAACATTCAGTTATTGTCACTGTCATGACAGATTTTATATACAAATAATAATTCTGCCGGCAGATAAATTCTATAAACATATACAGCATTTACATTTGAACACGAATAAAATCCAGGTAAATGGAGTTATCTCCCATATCACTTCATTCAGAAAAATGTATATTTCACAATTTCTCAATAAGTGTGCCCATTTCACCAATAATATATCCATTATCAAATGCCGTATTCATTCATTCTCATAATTTGCAATTCATGAATTAAAAACGTTACATTCTCAAGGTCTTAAAGTTTCAAAATAAACAAGATTACTGTGATAATCACTGAATATAATATATACATAAACATATATACCACCCTGAAACTGATATACTACCTTACACTTCTCTACAAACTGATATACTACCTTACACTTCTCTACAAACTGATATACTACCTTACACTTCTCTACAAACTGATATACTACCTTACACTTCTCTACAAACTGATATACTACCTTACACTTCTCTACAAACTGATATCCTACCTTACACTTCTCTACAAACTGATATCCTACCTTACACTTCTCTACAAACTGATATCCTACCTTACACTTCTCTACAAACTGATATACTACCTTACTCTTCTCTACAAACTGATATCCTACCTTACACTTCTCTACAAACTGATATACTACCTTACTCTTCTCTACAAACTGATATCCTACCTTACACTTCTCTACAAACTGATATCCTACCTTACTCTTCTCTACAAACTTATATACTACCTTACACTTCTCTACAAACTGATATCCTACCTTACACTTCTCTACAAATTGATATACTACCTTACACTTCTCTACAAACTGATATACTACTTTACACTTCTCTACAAACTGATATCCTACCTTACACTTCTCTACAAACTGATATACTACCTTACTCTTCTCTACAAACTGATATCCTACCTTACACTTCTCTACAAACTGATATACTACCTTACACTTCTCTACAAACTGATATACTACCTTACACTTCTCTACAAACTGGAAATATATTGAGAAGTCTGGGATTCATTGCATGTAACAGATAGTAGTTTTAAAGGGACAGGCAGGCCATTTTTTCTTACCAATCATTCGTTAGTCTCAGAAACGGGAATTCTTTAGCTAAGCAAATCTGTAATAGTGTTCACAGCTCACTGTCAAAATTTTAGCCTTCAAATCCATGTGTGTTCAGAATTAACTGCAATTGAATGTTAACTGACGGTGTTAATTTAAGATACTCTGTGATATATAGAAAAGACATAGAAATAGTGAGTAAAATTCCTAGATTGAAGTATTTTTAAAGGAATTTTGCGATGTTCGTACATTTTTAGTACTTCTGAAGACTATTTACATACATTCAAGACTAAAATCAACCCCCCAAATTGGCATACCTGTCCCTATAAATGTTTTATCTTTGAGGGGGGAATGAAGTGGAAAAAGTTCTTAGTTATTTAAATGGGTCAATAAACTGTGGTCCTATGTGCTGCTGACCGGCATGTTAAAGAGGCTTATACTGCTGCCTTGACAAAATTTCAGATGATACGAAAAATATACCAGCTTAATATCTAACTAAACATCTATTGTTTACATGCATAATTCACAAACACTTACTATATAGATAATATACCACTTATACTAATATAAAACCCTATTATTATATAGCTTTACATATTTATATAGAGATAACTTATCATAATACTTCAAGAACCAGTTTATAGAGTTGTTGTTTAGGATCTATTTACAATGTCTTGCAGAAAGATAAGACGTTAAACTCCATTCATTCATTCTTGAAATGCAGTCAAAGGAGAATAGGGTACATTGTTACAAAATTTTCCTCATTCCTCAGCATTATTCCAAGAAATTTTATAACTTATTGAGATATTGATATTATCAAAAGTATATAGTTATATGTTGTCTTGGCTCAAGTTAAATTGTCTAAACTTACAGTTGAGCAAATATATTTTGGTGTATATTGAAGGAGTACTTCAATTTATTGAAACATGTCAAATCTGAACCATATTTTTGAAACTATCATAACGCTAGGATATCCTAGAATCAATGTTAGAAGATAAGAACCTAGGCCGTCCTAGCGCTAAGATCGTTTCGAGAATAAGGGGTCTTATCTTGTGAACTGTCATAAGACAATTTGTTTTGCAAAATTTGGTATCGATCTGTTCATATCATTTTTACACATTTTTGTTAAATTTCAGTGTGCGATATTGTTAGATAAAGGTTTATCTAGATTTTACTCCAGTATGTTATAGTATACTAAAGATTTTAATTTTGTACAAATGACAAAGTTACAAAAGCACAGACACAGGAGTTATAAGCTTAAAGTTCTTTAATTTGAAAAAACAAAACATGTGTTATTTATTTAGTATTTGTGGTTTTGAGTTATGTTAAAGGATGAGATATAGGTTTATCTTCATTGGTTTCAACTCAAAAGATATCTTGGTTTTTCAGCAGATCATCTCAATTCTAGTCTATTTTAAGAATCTAAAACTGCAACCATTGAGAAGCTGTGTTTAATCATGGTTGAACTCCAGGGATGGTTTGATAATATTTCTGATAAAAACACAGTTATAACTTTATTTTATTAAAAATTTGAAATTAGGAAGCTATCAACAAATCACACAGATGATTCTGACTGATATATTGGTTTGGTGTAAAGTGTGTACTGTATTCAAGAGTGCAGACTCACAACCTGATATAAACTACTACAATTACAACTGTCAAATTATCTATTCTCTTTGAGAAGGCAACTGCTGACAACATCAAATCAAACATTGGTTGGCTATGATGATATATTAGATCAGAATTGAATAGAGTTCCTATATTAATACCAAAAACAGTTCAAAATATTGAGTTTAGCACTTACTTGGGATGGTTCTTAGACTCATTTCATATCTGCCTTGTTGATGTTGTTGGCTTGTAGCTTAAACAAATAAGAGTTTCCTGACTGTAAAAAGTTTTGGGTGTGTATATTTAATGATAATAGGACTAGAACTCTTATATGATTATAAGCAGATTTGAGGTAAAAAGCAATGAATAGTTGAGCCAAGTAAACATCAAAAAAATACCTTTTGGGTTCATTAAAGTAGATATTTGAATAAGATAAGACTAAAATAATTCATAAAAAGTATCATCAGGAACTAATGTATTTGTGGTCTGTTGATAAAACTTATCTCCCCTTGATAAGGGTATTTTATTCTTATCGTTCCCTATAATTGAATATTTTAACTCTGAACTATATATATATATTTATTTATATTCCTTGGAATATCTTCAATTTAGAGATATGATAACTCAATATTTTTAATGATAATATTTAACTCATAGAGTTTGATAATTCCAGATTCCAGTAGCGTCAGCAATTTTTTTCTGACCGAACTATCATGATGAACTTGAATGGACTATGCTTTCCAACTTTATACCATTGAATATTGCCATAATAAGATAAAGTTCTTTAAGGTAGAAAGCCTTGTGCTGTATCTCAGTTCTACTGATGAAAAATTAGTTAAGAAGAATTACGAGCTGTCCAATATACTTTTAGCTTGCCTTTGAAATCTTCAGATGAGTGCAGGGCATACATCAAACCATTTGTGATTGTTTTTAACCAAGTATGATTTTTTAGCTTGCCTTTGAGTGCAGGGCATTTTTCAAACTAAGTCTCATTCATGATTGTTTATAACAAAGTTTGATTTTTAAACAGAATTTAAAAAATGTTACTGAAGAAGCTCAAATTTGCAAATTAAATTCATTTTCAAACATTGCGACAATATGACTACCATTTAATGAAATTTACTTAAAAAACATTTGACAAAAGATTCTCGTAAAAATTCCAACATGCCAGGTTAAATCTTTTTAATACTTCCTCAGGTTTGCCTAATCTTTAGTTTACTACTGGCTGTCGAAAATAATTCAAAGAATTCCAAACATCAGCGTAAAAAGGCATGCTGGGATGAAAAAAAATACTGTATAGTGGCGAAAAAATTTGAAAAGTCACCAACTTTAGAGTAATTTATACTCTCTGTTTTTTAATCACTTGTTACAATATTTGAAAAACTGAAAAAAATTTGAAAAATTTGAAAAAATTCCAAATTCTCATCAAAATTCGTAACTTGATACTAATTATTTAATCTTCATGGAATTTGGAAAGAAAATGAAGATGTTTGGTTAAATTTAGAAGATAGCTATCTTAAACTATAAATAAATAAACATGGTGGCTTCAAGTTTCACACCAGTTTGTTGTGGCTTGTGCCGTATCTCTTAGATTTATTCACATGAAGCAGAAATGTACTGTAAGTAATTATACAAAATATACCAATTCTTATTTAGATAACTTTATAAGCCATTTTGGGACTTGATTTGTGCATTAGAAGGAGTGCTTTCTACTGATAAGTGGGGATTCAGGTTTACAGGGGATGTGTTTCTTTTATTGTGAAAAGATTTGGAGAGGGGTGATTTATGCGAAAGCCTGTTTCAAAATATGTTTTATAAAAAAATAATGGTCCTTATTTTAATGCATGGGCCAAGGAGTGAACACTTTCTCCTAGATGAGCATATTGAAAACATCTTCAGTCAATGGTTAAGACTGTTCATATGTTTCAGACTGAAATTTAAAATGGCAGAACTTACTGACAGCCTTATTCT